CGTATATAGTTTACTGTTTATTTCCTTCAGATCTTTAATTGTTATGCGGGATAGGGCGTCCGCTACGTGATTACCTTTCCCCTTGAGGTACTCTACCGTAAAATCGTATTCTTCCAAATCTAGTCGTAGACGCGTAAGTTTTGAACTTGGGTTTTTCATAGAGAACAGGTATACCAATGGTCTATGGTCGGATTTTACTAAAAATTGTCGTCCGTATATGTAGGGTCTGAAATGCTTGATTGCCCAGTGTATTGCGATTAGCTCTTGTTCGGTAGTGGATTTATTTGTTTCCCCTTTTGTGAATGTTCTTGAGGCGTAGGAAACTGGGAGTTGTACTCCGTTGTACTGCTGTGTGAGTACTGCGCCGCAGGCGTATTTGCTAGCATCTGTTGTTATGCAGAATGGTTTTTGAAGTCTGGATATTGCAATAATGTCGGTTTTAGTAGTTCATTTTTTAGATGCTCGAATGCCTGATTGCATGCTGGGGTCCATTCGAATGGGACTCTCTTTCTGCAAAATTCTGAAAAATTTTTTATAAAGCGTCTGTAATAGTTGCAAAACGCAACGAAAGGTCTTATACTGCCTGCATCTTTAGGGATTGGGTAATTCTTGATGACATCATATTTGCTATCATTGGGAAGTATTCCCTTGTCGGTGCATTTGTGGCCTAAAAAGGTTACTTCGTGCCTGAAGAAAGAACATTTCTCCGGGTTCAGCTTTAAATTGTGTTGCCTGCATAGCTGGAACACATCTCTTAAATTTTTGAGCATATGTTGCTCGGAACATCCTATTACTACTAGATCATCCATGTAGAGAAATGCTTGCGATGGTTTTAGGCCGGAAAAGGCAAGAGTCATCATGCGCTGAAATGAGTTTGGTGCTATTTTTAAGCCATACGGGAGTCGCGTGTAGCGATATGAGCCATTGCTTGTTGAAAAAGGAGTTATGTTTCGTGATTTCTCTTCGAGTTCGATTTGATGAAATCCAGACATTAAATCGAGACATGAAAAATATTTAGCTCTTCCTAGCTGGTCAAGAATATCCTCGATTCTTGGAAGTGGGAACTTATCTGCTAGCAGTTTCTTGTTGACTTGGCGATAATCCACTACTAAACGCCATCTTTTTTCATTAGTGTTTGGTGGAGATTTTTTGGGTACTAATAGAAGTGGGCTATTATATTCGGATATGGACGGTTCGACTATTCCGTCTTTGATTAATTTAGTAACCTGTTTGTCTATTTCTGATTTTTGTGATTCAGGAATTCGGTAGTTTTTGATATATATAGGTGTTTTGTCGTTCAATCTGAGCTTTTGTTTATAGAAGTTGTTTGCAGTTATTGGTTCGATTTCAATACCGAAAATATCGCAGAATTCTGTACATATTTCTGATACAAGAAAAAGTCGACGTATTTGTTTTAAATTTCGTTATAATAAAAAAACTCATTTGCGTTTATTCCAACAATTGTACAGTGCCCAAAGAATTCAGTGCATTTAAATCAATACGACGATTTTTTTCCCACAATTCTACAATGGGCAACATATTCAGTGCATTTAATTCATTACGGATGTTTACGGATATTTGGATTTTTTTTCTTACAAAAGCATGTTTGATTTTGCCAGGTAATTCTTGCTTATGAAAGTAGACACAAAAAAATTGTAGCGTTGGCATAGCGTAGCGTGAATATTCACACAAGAAAAGTAAACAAAACAAACGGCACGCTCGTGAAAACATTGCATTACATTTTCACTGAAAACGTAACACTTCACTGGCGCCCTATATTGAATATATGCTGACTACAATACAGTCAAACCTGTTTTTGTGCGGTATTTTTTTATGCGCTTTTTTTGTGCGATTCTTTTTGTGCGGTATATGAATATCGACACATTGAATTTCGCCGAGAGGTTAGGTTAATCTGAACTGTGTTGGCATCAGTTTTTTTGCTATCAGTGTGTATGTACACATTGAAACAGCCATTTTCATACCTAGTGCTGGAAAGCGGTCTGGCCTGAATGTGTCATTAATAGAAATGTAACCGACAACACGTCCACTTTATCATCAGATATCATTGCGCTAGCACATCAAATCTGCGGAGAAGGTTTTGACACTTTCAGCGAAAATGATCTTATTGAAATGATTGAGGACGAAACCGTAAATGATAGTGACATTATCAATAACTTAACAGATCATGAAGACGGACAAAAAGAACCGGAATCTATTACAGCGGATAAAATATATGCAGGGATCCAGCTTTGCAGCAAATTGGAAAAGCATTTTCTTAAAATAGATAACAATTCTCAAAGAAGTTTGAAAAGAGCTTCGATTGTGTATATCTGGCTATCGCGACGTTTACAAACAGCTGACCAAACGACCGTCGGCGCAAAAACTTATAACCGACTACATGTTAACAAAAAATAAATCAACTGTAGTATCTTCAAGTGACGAAAGCGATTACGAACCAGTTCATCGCAAAAATATGCGCGTTTTGAACTACTACGAGTAGTATTGAATTATGTATATTTTGAAAATTTCTCCTTGTTTAAAATTAGAAATTAAAATTTTTTTAAATGTTTCAATGTGTAATTTAATTATTTATTTTGTTTGGAAAGCACTTTCTTGCTATTTCGTAAAGCTTTGACATATTTTCTAAGTGAAACTTTTTTTATGCGGTCCCTCTCTACCGCACAAAAAAAATTTTCTTTAATATGTTGTGAAAAATTATTTCTTATAGCTATTTATGAAGTTTTTGAATATTTTTTTTGTGCGGTTTTTTTTCTGCGGTCCCTATTCACCGCACAAAAACAGGTTTGCCTGTATTTCATATTTCAAATGTAAAAATATGTTGTAAAAAAACTTAGGCTAAAATTCCTAATATATAAGCAACCAAAATCAATAATAAAAATTTATTCAATTTGTAAGTTCCAGCCGAGCTTGCACTTGGCATTTTATGAACTAAAAGAAAGTAACTAATTGAATTCTTCAAACTAGATAGGGACACGTTTTGCCGAACCTATTTTGGCAGCTAAAGAATGCTTGATTTGGCGGAATAACCGAACAGGCAGAAGATTGTACACTTATATTGAATTCATAGAGGATCCTCAGTTACTCAGAAATTAGCACTTTACACATTTTACACAAATTTCCGACACAATATCAACAATACAACAAGTTCTCTTAGCAACAAAAAGGAGCCAAATATACTTTCATTCCCTTTTTCTCCTTAATGCTACTAAATTTCTCATCCAACAAAAAGAGTCTTTTCATTTTTCATAAAGTTTCTTTATTTATAATTCCAGATTTTCATGGCGGTAAAGCTTACGGAAATAAATGAGCTTAAACGTCTGGCGTATGCACTCATTGGTAAGCCACATAACGCATGTTCAGGCCAGATAACAATAAATAACGTCTTTTTATTTTCTTGTGCTCATTTGTATGCTCAGAGTGTTTTGAAATCTCTATTGATTTAACACGGTGTTATTCACCGTGAAGCTATACATATATATGAATAATGAAAAATTTATCTATAATGACACCCTAAACTTATTAAGTCAAAATTGTTCTTTGATTATGTTCGATAAAAGCAAGAAAAAGCAATGCAAACAGAAATAACTGCAGCTAAGTCAATTATTGCCCTTTCGAGAGAGCCACTACGTAGGCATAGTCAGGCGTGATAAGATATTGAGACGTAAGTATTTTCTAGATATAAATTATCAAGCACTTTCATTAATAAAGAGAGTTTCACATAAAGAAAGGACACTCAATTTTAACTGCGAATAGGGAAGAAAAAACAGAGAAAGTCTTTAATGCTACGATTTGTACGTGGACGAACTTTCTTCATGTATTTTTAATCGTCAAATGTAGACACAAATCAATATTAGAAAGAGGCTTAAAACAAGAAATAAAACTAACTAAATCGCAACCGGCGGTTTCAATTGAGCCTTACGCACAGAAAAAAAGGCACGATATTTTTTTTAATAACAAGTTTTAGAGTTGACAGTTCACTTTAAAAAAAGAGCATGCATATTTATTAATTTAGTTGAAAATAACTGTTATTCCGAAGTAATCTAAAATTTTTCAAAAAGAAAAAAACCGCTTATAATACAATACTCCTTCGATCAAGGTAAAAGGCTTTTGCAGGCCTGTAGAGAAAATGCGACGCATTCTCTGCGAATCGCTGCCAAATAAAACGAAATTGGGCCATTTTTAAAGGACTGAAAACCAGCGAAGACAGATGATTGCATAGGTTCATACTTCGTGAAAAGGCTTTGGTTCAAGATGGATGAAATCGCGCAGACGGTGGGAAAAAAGGACAATTGTAGTAAAATATTAATGAAATAAAGAAAAACAAATTATAGTCCCATATATTTACTTATTTTTAAAAGTTCAGTTATGAAAAATTCATAAAATTTACAAATTATATGAATTTAATGTAAGATTTACCATTAATATAAAACAATCTAACAAGAAGAAAAGAAATAACATATTTCCAAATGAATATAGTAAGCTCAAGTACAAGCGGATACACAATCAAATTGAAAAGCAAAAAAGCCTATACCCGCTCAAGATGAAGGCACACTGCCCACCTCTGCAACTTTTCGGCCACCAATAGCGAAAAAGTTTTAGATCGACTTTATAAACGGTTAAAGTACACATTAAAAAATATTGCTAAAAAAGTTATATTTGAAAATTATAGTTTACGCCATTTAAAATTAATACTTGAAGTATCTCGTTATGTATGAGCATGTCAGTTGGCCAACCAGGATTATGCTTGCACAGGTCTCAGGAAATGTTTGCACGTTGTGAAAATTTACTTTCTTAAAAAAATTGATTTGAGAAACCAACCTTGGCAGACATATGGTTGCTTACATTTCAAATTTAAAGATGTACATTGATCACGACAACAATAAGCAAGGAACTGAAAGGGTTGCTTAAGTACGCAGTGCATTTCTTTTTACAGATGGTTCTAGGAGAGACGACGGCTCCCTTGCTTGCCAGAGAAAAAATTCAGGTTAATCATGTCCTACACGAGAGCGGTGCAATATTTTCAATCGACACTGGATTTGCGCTTCATACCACAAACCATGCTCGCGAAACCAAGCTCAAACCGATTGTCATCACATGTAATTTGTCTCTCCTAAAACCCATGCGGGAACTCTTACGATCCAATTGGAACACCATTAACAAGGTAAGGAAGATCATTGTCACTTTTGGAGATAAAATTTGAATTTGTTTGGGTAACGAATCATATTTGTCTTTCCGGAAATGAGCGAACAGGCCTGGCAGCTAAATGTGAGACTTCGGCGGCTTTAATTACAGACGGCACAATCGAAAAATTGATCTCCGAAAATAAATTTGAAATAAAATTAAAGAGAAAGTAAATGAAAAAGTTAGCATATACAACAGCAACGTCAACGTCAAGAATATCAAAATCAAAACATTTGCAAGAATTAGTCGTTGTCATACTATTGCAACACACCAACTGTTTGCGGTTCTTTAGTTTTCGATTGCGGATAAGATCGTACGATTATAAATATATTTTATGAATAATAACACCTTTCGAATAGCCAAAGACGCGATTTTAAAGCGTCCAACCTTATCCACATCTTGAAAATGTCGGGAGCGCTTAATATCAATTAAACATTTAACTTTATTAACGCAATTGGGTTAACTATATAGTCCACCTCTTAGAAAAAGAACCAATTCACTCTACTCACCCTACTTTTAGTTCTAGAATTTATTTATTCGGTTTAAATAAATTACGATAATAATTGCAATAATTTGCTTGACTTTGCATTTTGCCGTTGTTAATTGTTTCAATTTTATATTTGCATGAGTAACCATATAGGTAAGGCTCGCGATTGCCAACCCAGTATTCTCTGGCTCAAATCTCAAGTGCTGTAGAGTTTGGTTTGGTAATAGGTATAGTGAGTCTTAAGGCGTAACACTTACCGATGGACCACCACACAGTTACTAGGCTGCGGCCATCACCTCCTTAGTTCTTTCTATTTCTTTCTAACCATCGCGAATACGATGCGTCCTCTGTGACTACTCACATTAAAAAAATAAAGAATTAATTTCAATTTAGTGAGGTTGTGTATGTCTTATTTCTTATAAATACATGTTTTCTCCAAATTTTTTATGGCGAATTTAGTACTTTAGAAAGTTTCATTACTATTCGTAATTAAAAATTTTTGGGTTTATGGTGAGTTAAAAGCATTAAAAGTATTAAAAGAAAAATCTCACAATGAGTTTGCACTCACAAATATACATGTCAACCGATAATAGGATGATATTATAGCATTCATTTCACAAAACTTGAATAACCTCGAAACTCAACACGCTTCGTTTCGTTATCGTCAGTTTTATGCACATACCGATCAAGCTCCTCTGTACACGCAGTAGTTATAAAAGTGAATCTACTTTGTATAGAGATCAGCTCACGAACTATCTGTAATTATACTAAGAACGTTGAAAAAGTTCGGACTGCCAATGAGCGACAGTAAACCAAACAAACGCCATTATACAGAACGAGCTTTTTCCACATGCCTTCACGAGATAGAAATCCTGACAGAGGCAAGGACAATGTTGTTTGAGGCTTACCACAACCTTCACCGATTCATCGACCACCTCTCAACATTTTTGACTCATATGTCAACCATGTATAGGTAGATATAAACTATAAATAAGTAAGTACATGTAAGCAGTAAGGTAGTGGAAGTGTTGTCTAAGCATAAATGTAACAAGAAAAGCAAAAATTTGCTGCACTGAAATATCCCTATGGAGATAGAAGCCGCTTAGATTATAAAATTGCCGCAAATTGATGCTTCGGACGAAGTTCGAGCAAAAACGAATTAGGCAAAAAAGCTACGCAATATATTCAACCATCCAAGTGACCAAAAAACGAATTCAAACATCGACTTGCGCAGCTATCGATTTCAGATATGAGAATTACGGTCGTTTCTATATTTTTTGCAAAACTTCCCGCAAAATTTTCCACACTAACCATTGAAAAACTTGTTTTCCTCTTCTTCATACCTTTTCGCCACTAACGGTTTTCCGAACCAACCGTTTGGACAATAGATTTACAACTTGATCTTGATCTTCGTAGCCATTTTTAACGGCCTTTTGTAATAACAGACACAAAATTCATTATTGCTATTTAATTTTAACTTAATTTTTATTCTTTAATTTACAAACTGACTTAAACATATTGACGTTTAACGGATAGAAACAGGATGCTTACCACACTTAAAGTATCGAGCTTAGAAACATGATCTGGTACCGTTACAATTAAGAAGAAAAAAATGAAGAGTATAACAACACGTCGCAATAATTGGTCAACCGATTTGTAGAAAATCTATACCGTTAGATCCTAAACGAATGTAGATTGTTAAAACCCATGTTGGATAATGATCTCATTCAACAATCTAAAAGCGTTTGATCTACACCTACTGCGGAAGAGAAAGATGGGAGGCCATGTCGCGAGTATAGATTTTCGAAGAAAATTGCAGTACTTTATCGATATGCTGTTTGTTCCATAACAAACTATGAACCGTGAATATACGCCCGCAAGTTTTTCACCACAATTGATCTAGTTCCACCAAATTGTTGCGCATGCGGACCATGTATGCAAAACTGTTACCATTACCCATTTTTCTCTTAAAGAGTTCCTACGAATGCCTTCTTGTTTCTGTAGCGCTGCCCAAGTTTCCAACATTTTAAGGATGAAACCCTTCGTAGTTTTAATATTTTTTCGTTTATATCTTTTGTTTTGACTTGGTTTATATTGGTCACATCAGACATTACGAAACAAGATTTTCAACACTTGTGAGGAGTTCTTAATCATTTCTTTCAACGTTATTAATCCATCTCAGTGTAGACCTCTTAAATTTTCATGTACTACATGACAATACTGCTTTACAAGAAAAATCCGAACAATAGTAGATTTAAAAACACCATAAACCTATCGATTCATCGATGCTTAATTTCTGTCGCCGTTTTATATCACATGCGAGTAACTTTCAAAGTACTTTAAGTCCTTTCATTAGAGATGCTAAAAAGAACGACGGAAGCCAAGTCCATTAAGAGTCCGAAGAAAGTCTAATTAAATGGGAAGACGCAATTGCTACTATTATTCAGCCTTCCACTGAATTCCGAAAGGTCAATCCTAACTATATTGTATTTTGCCAACGTTCACATCGTCAGTCTGTCCCTCTCTCAGACAAAAGGGAGTCTTCACCGCTATATATTATTTATAAAAGTCTAAACGAATAACGATTTAAGATATACCTATTGGCTATTACTATTACTGAAGCTGCTACTATTGTAATTGGATTTGGTCCGGGAAGACACTTAACTTCATATGTATCTTAAGTTTTATGAAATTTATGCAAGAAGCTAGATGCCAGCATTCTACTTTTCCTGATCCGCAATCTAATGATCCAATTCCTTCTTTCGGACACGTCGTTTTTCTGTGACGTATGTTGTACGACAGACTTCTGTCTAATTCCTTCAAACTTGAAACTAGTTTTGAAATCATTGTTGATGCATTCTGTCCTATGGTTAGTTTTCCTTTCCTTCCCTTACTAAAGAAGTGCGCGTTTGACCAACAGTCCGTCCATATTTACGGTTATCGGTTCTCCCAAAACATATAATTTTTCAAGGTTGTTTGTTTATCTATCCGATTTATCCAAGAAATGTTTCATATACACATGTTCTAATTGATTCTCCGTATGAATGTGTTGTTTATAAAAATGCACCTCTTTTCTTTGATTATATATATTAAGTAGTTGATTTTGATGCTTTTCTTGACTCTTCACATACCCTGAATTATGATTTCATTACATATGCGTACAAATATACGGTCTGTTTCTTATTATTATACATATATTATTGTACTTTTTTTTATAACATACATTAAATTGTACCGGAAGTCCTTTATGCATACATTATATACATAACATATATATATGATATATAATATTGATATATAATGTTCTTGTATCAATGTATGTACTCTCATATTTTATAAGCATAGTTGTACACACATTTATTGATCAATGCCTATCCCTTCTTTTACTTATCGATATGCCTAAACCTACTCTTATTTCTGTATAAAAATACATTGAATTATTAATACGTATAAATTTCTGTATTCTCATCTTTATTGCTTGATATTATACATACAATTTTATTCTTGTACATAAGCATGCAGCTATTTTGTATACCTATTGAATTGCTAATAGTTACGCTTATATGCTAAAACAACATAGTGAATTGTTCTTACTATTTGCGGCTTAACCGTTACGCAGTGACATATGTTTTCTTGTTACTTGACCGAAGTCTAATTGTTAAAGTACATACGCTTATTTCCTTATATCTGCTATCATGCTTAAACATCAGCTTGTTCTTATTAATGTCTACATATTCAAGAATACAAATATGCATTGGATAATTCTTATGCTTATACTAACACATACGATTATAATTACAGAACTTCCAAAAATCGCGTATTACCTGTCCATGCATGTTCATACTTATATTTTCCCATTGCTAAAATGGGGCTGCCTCGCTCATGCATCCATAGCTTGTATATATAAAGCGAACTTAGCTCTGAGTAAATATATGCATACATTGATCTTATTAAAACTGGTTTTTCACTTATACTTAAACTTATACTTATACTTATACTTAAACTTAAGCATAAACTAAATTGAGCTACAGGCAATCAATAATCGTATTCTTATTTATTTAGTTATTTGGGAAGAAACATAGAGAAAATTTTACCAAACCTAAAACGAATGTGAAATACCTACATTACAGGGAGAACATTTTGGCTAAAAATTCACTTCAATGTAGATGATGACGTTTAATTCAATATATAAATATATCAATTACCAAAAATAATGTTAAGAGTTAAGTAGAGCATTGAGGGAGAGCTAATTGGAATCCAAACCAAACTCATGTTAACACACACTACTTTATACAAGAAAATGTAAAACTTGACCTAATAAGAAGTTTATAATGTGATCGCATATCGTTATATGCATCCACTTTGAAGTGTGACAGAATTATGCAAATTCAGCACAATTTTTTTTGCAAAAAGAAAAACAAAAATTATTTCACACTTCAACCGGCTGAGTATTGCATTACGAAATGCAATACGATGCTAGGCGCCCCAATTAAATTAGTGTTTTTGACTACGTTAGCATTATAATACCTGTAGAATTATCTATAAATAGCCGGGTAAAAACTTAATAAAGCAATTGTTTTAACACAATTCATTATAAGCGTATCAATTCGCTGCATTAACAAAAGGCGTTCCATCCGCCTAAATTTTATAGCGACCGTCTCATGCCGAACCCGCTTGGCATT